ATTGCAGGGGTTGGGCTCAATGATTCTTGGTGTCCCTTCCAAGTCAACAATTCTATGATTCTATGAAATGGACCAATGTGTCTGATTCAGTACAAGACAGCTTTCTATGGGTGGAATTCAACTAAGGTGTTCCATCAGCAGAAACCCTGCACAAGGACTTCCACTTATGGCTGCCCCACCCTCCTCCCACTGTATGACCCATGCACCCCCCAAAATGACCCAGGGGGGGTCAGGAGAACACCTGAATCAGCATGCAGGAAGAGGAGAGAAGGTTGTTCAGCCTGGGAAGCTGAAATGCCTGCCCTCAAAGAGCAATTGCTTTAATATGAAGTTGAATTCCTCCTTATGTTCCTATGAAAAGCAGTTGGCAATTCCACATTAATTCTATAGGACTGGAATGTGGGGAATTCCCTTATTCCTACCTAGGCCTTGTGTGGACCTAACAAGGTAAGGAAAGATCCGAACTCAGAACTCTTAGGCCAACCCCAAACCTGCTAATTCCCTTTGCTCCCCACCATGCAAATGATGACATTTCAATTTTACCGTTCTTATTAAAAGGCATTAATTCTCGGGTCTTATCCCTCCCTGTTCCTCACCCCCTTATTAATGTCCCCTCTTCCGAGTGAGCATATTACAAACAGATTTAATAACACCACTAATTCTTTTAATCTGATTTTACGAGAGCCAAAGGCGGCGGCAACAAATCAGCGTGTGTCCCATTAAAAGAAATAATATGGTCATATAGAACCTAAACAAGCCCGTCCACATAAACCCATTTGTCTCTGTGCTTGTTTTATTTATTAGGCGAACTGGCCTGGATGGAGACCACGGCTGGCACATGGGAGTGAAGAGGAGACAATTTGGAGCTTTTGGCCAGCGCTGCTGGCAGCCCGTGCTTGTTGAACAACCTGACAGAGGGAAACCCGCAGAGTTCTGATGTATCCCACTCCTTGCCGGGGCTTTTTATTTGCAGTCGTAAAAAAAAAATCCTACATATGCTGGGCACCGACTTAATTCTTTGAAAAGAGCTTATTTTAGGAGGTCCTTTGCAAATGACATTGTCTTGGCTGCGCTGGGTGCTGCTGGGGACAGGCTGTGCGAAAGAGGATTAGACAAATTTCATGGAGAATAAAGCTGCGTCGATGGCTGCTGGCCGCGATGGCTAGGCTCTGTCTCTACTGTTGGGGAAAGTGGGCTCGGGAAAAGCAGTTGTCGGGAATCGCAAGTGCAGAGAGCCCAGCTGAGCTCGTGCCCTGCTCAAGAGGTGTCTGGTTGACCGCTGTAAAAACAAGATGCTGTGTTACATGCACCTTTGGCCTCATCCAGCAGTGTTCTCCTTGTGTATTTAATGTTCTTAAAGCACAGTTCCATACTGATGGACTATGGAATTTCATTTCATTTCTAATTTGTATCCTGCCTTTCTGTAATCCTATACACAAGGCAGTCTGCAACCTGAAGGAACAACAAAAGCCACAGCAAAGATCACACACCTATCCAATACAAAATATAAAATTTAATTTTCATTTAATTTTCTGTTTTACAATTTAGAATATTCGTTTGTTGTTGTTGTTTAGTTGTTTAGTCATCTCCGACTCTTCGTGACCCCATGGACCAGAGAATGCCAGGCACTCCTGTCTTCCACTGCCTCCCGCAGTTTGGTCAGACTCATGCTGGCAGCTTCGAGAACACTATCCAACCATCTTGTCCTCTGTCATCCCCTTCTCCTTGTGCCCTCCATCTTTCCCAACATCAGCGTCTTTTCCAGGGAGTCTTCCCTTCTCGTGAGGTGGCCAAAGTATTGGAGTCTCAGCTTCAGGATCTGTCCTTCCAGTGAGCACTCAGGGCTGATTTCCTTCGGAATGGATAGGTATGATCTTCTTGCAAGAGTCTCCTCCAGCACCATAATTCAAAAGCACCCATTCTTCGGCGATCAGCCTTCTTTATGGTCCAGCTCTCACTTCCATACATCACTACTGGGAAAACCATAGCTTTAACTATATGGACCTTTGTTGGCAAGGTGAGGTCTCTGCTTTTTAAGATGCTCTCTAGGTTTGTTAAACAACCTTTAATAGTGGCTAACCTATGAGTTGCAATATCCATCTTGCCTCCCCAAGAGTATTTTGTTACTCTTCCAAAGCCCCCCCCCCAATTTCTATTCTCCCCTGAAATAAGGGGAAATTATTATAAGGGCCACACCCACTTTTAGATGTGGCCCTCGTCCTGGAAAGTTTTGCCTGCTCCCAGCTTTGAGATTTTCAGATAAAGCAGTTGGCAAATTCTTCTCAGTTAATGAATGAATGAATATATCATCTGCACAATAAAGGGGAGGAACATTTCTCTGATCACAAGATTTTCCAGCAATTAATATAATTTATTAATCACAACCCTCGTTTTAAATGCTTCTTAATCCTAATGACCGATCTGAGCTTAAGCTTTTTAACTGTTGAAATAAATACCATTTAAAACTGCTCAGTTTACCTCTCGAAGATATTGACAACGATATTGATATTGTTCTGATGGCATGCTTTGAAATAATCTCTCTGCAGATAATTTTTCTACAAATGTATGCAATAAAACCATAACATAATGAGTGTTAAGGGAACAATTCCATCCCACGATTAATCACTTCTAAGTCCTGTTGAGAGCTATTTTTTTTTTAAAGATATTTATTAAAGTTTCAAGAAATACAAAAAAAATACAGAGTACAAAAAAAGGAATAACGTTTTTAAAATATAACAAAAAAATAAAGAATAAAAAGGAAACATACAAAATAAAACAGTTAAAAAGACATTGATTTTCCAAACCTATCTTCCCTACACTTATTTCCCTGGACCTCCTCGTACCTCCCTTTTTTGTATTCCAGTTCAGTTTGTTAGTTCAGCAAATCCTTACCATTAAACTTTTACCCAATTGTTAACCTTTTTTCATATCTCTTAAAGCATTACAGCTAAAAACCTCTTAGTTTCTATCCAACATCCTTCTAAGATTCCTTAATTTTGCAATATTTCTGTAAATAGTCTTTAAATTTCTTCCAGTCTTCTTTCACCGACTCTTCTCCCTGGTCTCGGATTCTGCCAGTCATTTCCGCCAATTCCATGTAGTCAATCACCTTCATCTGCCATTCTTCCAAAGTGGGTAGATCTTGTGTCTTCCAATACTTTGCGATGAGTATTCTTGCTGCTGTTGTAGCATACATAAAAAAGGTTCTGTCCTTCTTTGGCACCAATTGGCCGACAATGGCCAAAAGAAAGGCCTCTGGTTTCTTCAGAAAGGTATATTTAAATACCTTTTTCAGTTCATTATATATCATTATATATCATTTCCCAGAAAGCCTTGATCTTTGGGCGCGTCCACCAAAGGTGAAAGAATGTACCTTCAGTTTCTTTGCATTTCCAACATTTATTATCGGGCAAATGATAAATTTTTGCCAGCTTGACTGGGGTCATGTACCACCTGTTGAGAGCTACTACCTCCCACCAATAGTTAGACAATAAAGAATTTTCTAGGGTCTCTTTTTGGGTTTTTAAAAACCTAATCAATGGAGAACCTCGCCAGTAAAATCAAACTATGGATAGACAACATCTCCTGGAATGCCAGCTTGGCTGCGTGATCATGGGTCCCCGGGGTCATGGGTGCCATGCAGTGTGCATGCCCTGGCAATGAAATTTATGGGGAATATTGTGAGTGCTCAGGTACCCAGGGCCCCAGGGAGTTGGCACCTATGATCATCACCCTCTTTCAGAGGAGAATGAGGGGTCAATAGTAGAAAGGGTGTTTGTCTGCTCCACCTGCTTGGCTGGTGGTGTATGCCACTGCCATGGTACCAGAGGGTGAGAGTTTAAGGGCTCTGCTCACCTGTCAGACTTGACCCACAGGGTGGAGGGGGAGATATGGATCTGACCCCCTGGATGTATCCAGTTCCCAACCCCTGTTATTCACCCTAGTAGGGACGCGGGTGGCACTGTGGTCTAAAGCACTGAGCCTCTTGGGCTTGCCGATCAGAAGGTTGGCGGTTCGAATCCCCGCAACAGGGTAAGCTCCCGTTGCTCTGTCCCAGCTCCTGCCAACCTAGCAGTTTGAAAGCACGCCAGTGCAAGTGGATAAATAGGTACTGCTATGGCGGGAAGGTAAATGGCATTACCATGAGCTTTAGCTTCTGTCACAGTGTTCCGTTGCACCAGAAACAGTTTAGTGATGCTGGCCACATCAAAGCTGTCTGTGAACAAATGCCAGCTTCCTTAGACTGAAAGCGAGATGAGTGCTGCAACCCCATGGTCACCTTTGACTGGACTTAACTGTTCAGGGGTCCTTTACCTTTACCTTTATGTCGGCATACAGAGGGTCGCAAGGCCAGCTGGCTAGCCCCAGCTGGGTCATCTCCTTCCAGCCATCCCGCTGTGAAGACCCATTGTCCTCTGCTCCAACGTAAATCAGCGACCCAGGCTTCAAAGCCAGGGCACACTATATCAGCCGAGCGAACTGCGCACACAGAATAGGCGTGAGGCTTGTGGAAGCATACTACAACTATGGATTTAGTAATCATAAATCAGGACAAAGAAACATGTCGTCTCTCTCTTTGTCTTCTCAGAGAGCCAGTGTGGTGTAGTGGTTAAGAGCGGTAGACTCGTAATCTGGGGAACCGGGTTCGCTCCTCCGCTCCTCCACATGCAGCTGCTGGGTGACCTTGGGCTAGTCACACTTCTTTGAAGTCTCTCAGCCCCACTCACCTCACAGAGTGTTTGTTGTGGGGGAGGAAGGGAAAGGAGAATGTTAGCCGCTTTGAGGTTCCTTCGGGTAGTGATAAAGCGGGATATCAAATCCAAACTCTTCTTCTTCTTCTTCAAAAGCTATACACACAACGGACGTTCCCAGCAGATGGTGCTGGTATGTAAACAGACATGTGACATGCAACAGTTCCATGTCTGCAACTAAAGGTGGAATGGAATTTCCCAACACTTTATGCACCCTAGTCAGGCAGCAATGGAAAGGACTGTTAGTGAAGAGATGTGGCTCTGTAGTAGATCATCTGCCTTGCATGCAGAAGGACCCGGGCTCAATCCCATGGCATTTCCAGGTAGGGTGGGGAGAGGTCTCTGTCTGCAGCCCTGGAGAACAGCTGCCAATCAGTGTAGACAGTACTGGGCTAGATGGACCAATGGGTCTGACTCAATATGAGAGGCAGCTTCTTGAGTTCCTAGGCTGCACAGGCATTGTGCGTTCAAATCATGTGTCTTCACAAAGAAAAATAACCCTGGAACTGCAATTTGTTAAGGGTGCTGGGAATTTCTAATCAGTCACAAGTAAATTAAAGTCCCCAAGAATCCATAGGGGGAGCTGGGTGATTAAAATGGCTGGGTGTGCAGTCCTAGACCCATTGGAATCAGTAGACTTAAGTTATAGGTGTTTCTCAAACTTGGGTCCTCAACTGTTGTGGGACTACAGCTGCCATCATCCATGACCACTGGTCCCATTAGCTTAGAAGAAGAAGAGGAGTTTGGATTTGATATCCTGCTTTATCACTATCCAAAGGAGTCTCAAAGCTGCTAACATTCTCCTTTCCCTTCCTCCCCCACAACAAACACTCTGTGAGGTGAGTGGCGCTGAGAGACTTCAGAGAAGTGTGACTAGCCCAAGGTCACCCAGCAGCAGCATGTGGAGGAGCAGGGGATGCGAACCTGGTTCCCCAGATTACGAGTTTACTGCTCTTAACCACTACAACACACTGGTGTATTGGTTAGTTTGATACTCAAACACACACTGCCTTGCACTGCTGGCAAAACCCCATACATTTTGCCAATTTTTCAACATTCCCCCTCGGATGCTAATTTCGCCGTTGAAATCCTAGACATGTCCAGGAAATTCCTGATGTATGGCAAACCTACACTAGCTAGGGATGATGGGATCTGTAGTCCGGCAATAGCTGGACAGGACCAAAGTTTGAGAAACACAGAGTTAGTCCATTGGAAACTGGGCAAGGGCCATAGTGCAGTGGTAGAGCTAGAGGAAATGAGCAAACAGATTGGCTCCATCAAGAGTCCCTGGGCATCGAGACACACTCTTCCTTATCAACAATTGGCTCTCATTGGGTTTAATGTAGGTTTAGAACTCACCAAGAAGGTACACACACATTTCCATTGTGGCAGCTCAGAGGTGAGATTTAAAGGTTCTGGTGCCCGGATAATTGAAATGCAAATCACTGCTCACACTCCCTGCTGTGGCTCAAGTTTGGTAGAGATCAGGTTTTGCAGCCTCCCAATGGAGGAATTTTGCAATCCTGCCTTCACCAGAATTCACAGATTTGTTGCAGCCAAAGGTATCATTTTAGACAATATAATTGTAATGTAGGAGTTGAAAGTTTGTCACTGGAGCTCCTCCTCTCAGTCTGCCATTATGTCGGATTTTGAGAGGGTTTTTTTTAATTTTTATGCAGCTGCATCAGGACTGAGGATGCTCTTGTAGACAATGCAAATACACACATCACAGCCTCTTCGTCCTGAAATATACCCTCCTTGAATATAAACATTTCATGAATATTGTTGTTTCCCCCCCCTTCTTTCTCTTTTTTTATTCCTTTTAAAATGTGCAGATGGTAAAACACTGGCTGTCATGAACTTCTGGGGAGGAAAGAAAGTGAAATATATATAAAAATATTATCTGGTTTGTGGCTCTCTTTTTTTGAAAGAAAAGTATCATTCTCTTGCAAAACATCGCCTGTGGAAGAATAAAAACAAGACAATGGTTTTCTTTCTTTCAAGCAAAAATAAAATGGGAAGAATCTCATTTGCTAATTGCTGCTGAAAATCTCAGGTACAAAAGTATCAATTCAGACACCCGCATTCAGAGTGGTTGGTGTCATTACTGGGGTGTTAAATCCCCCATCTCCCCCTCCCCCTGCCGCCAATGTCTCTCTTTCTCTGTTTCCCACTTTTCAATCCATCCAAAGCAAAATAATATAAATAAAGCCAACATCCCAGGAATAATGCAACAGAACTTGACATTGTCTGGACAATCAATAGCCACAGAGATGGGAAGTTTTGTATCTCCAGAAAACAACAACTTCTTCTTCTTCTTCTTCTTCTTCTTCTTCTTCTTCTTCTTCTTCTTCTTCTTCTTCTTTACAGTCCGCCCTCCTTCTATGGATCTTTCCCAGGACCTTTTGCCCTAAAGATGCCAAGTGAGGCTGTGTCAGATTCATCTGTTATGTCTGTGATGTGTTCAAGAACATATTTCAAGGTCTTGGCAAAATCTACACCACAACCTAAGTCTTTCCCACATCGAGCAGAGAATTGAACTTACATCTCTGTTCTTCAACCTAGGCTTTGTGGGAAATTAGCAGCCAAACCTAATAAATGCACATTCTTGCTAGTTAGTGTGAGAAGGGGCTACTCAGAGCATAAAAACATAATTGGTAGAGAGGACTCTGTGTGATGTCATTTCCCCTCATCTCCTGGAGAGGAAAGAGCACATAGAGCTTCCTCTTTCTTTCTTTCTTTCTTTCTTTCTTTCTTTCTTTCTTTCTTTCCAATCAGCGATGTTTGCAAACATGCCTCTGCTTGCTCCAGCTTCAGGCATCTGTCTGTTACACAGTAAATGTAAGTATTTTGCTTGTATAGTTTTTAGTGCTACTGTTGCTGCGAACCAAGGTGTGATTATAAAGTAAAACTTATTTTTAACCTTACTTCCCAAGTGGTTGCCTGATTCTTTGTTCAGTGGCGTAAGAAGGGGAGAGCCAGTTTACATCAAAGCTGGACTTGCTCAAAACAAGGCTTCGCAGCCTAATTCCCCGGAAAATCTATGTGCTCTCTATTTGTATATTTGTGATTTCAATGCTTTGTATGTTGATGTTTTGTAAGTTTGCTGAGAGCCGCTCAGCTCCTTGTGGGAAAGTGGTGTGCAAGTAAACTCCATCAATCCATCTTCTTGCATCTTTGCTGCCATCTTACCACTGTTTGCTGGTGACCCACGTCCAAAGATACACACCTTCGCTGTCCTTCACCCTTCTCTCTGCACATGCACAATGCTTTCAAAATCTCAAGGCTCACTTGAAAATGGGTGAGTTAAAAACAATGCCTTCAGGACTGTTTTGCCTTCAGTTGTGTTAAAGAGTCAGAACTGAATATACCTCGGGTTACATACACTTCAGGTTACATACGCTTCAGGTTACAGACTCCGCTAACCCAGAAATAGTGCTTCAGGTTAAGAACTTTGCTTCAGGATGAGAACAGAAATCGCGCAGTGGTGGCGAGGTGGCAGCAGGAGGCCCCATTAGCTAAAGTGGTGCTTCAGGTTCAGAACAGTTTCAGGTTCAGAACAGACCTCTGGAACGAATTAAGTACTTAACCCAAGGTACCACTGGATATGGAACTTGCCAAACTGACCGGAAGACTCTGAGACCAGAGAGAAGAGACAGTGGAAGAAGATTGGAAGAAGTTTAAGGAATATTTGAAAAAAATATGTTAATATTTAAATCTTAGAATAGTTTTGGAAGTGGATTTAGGCTGTAGGGTTAGAAGTAGAAGATAGTATATTTCAAAACAGTATTACAGTGGTACCTCTGGTTATGTACTTAATTCGTTCCAGAGGTCTGTTCTGAACCTGAAACTGTTCTTAACCTGAAGCACCACTTTAGCTAATGGGGCCTCCCGCAGCTGCTACGCCACCACCGCACGATTTCTGTTCTCATCCTGATGCACAGTTCTTAACCCGAGGTACTATTTCTGGGTTAGCGGAGTTTGTAACCCGAAGCGTATGTAACCTGAAGCATATGTAACCCGAGGTACCACCGTATTTGCAAGTGATAAAATGTGAAGATTTTTATGGTTAAAGTAAGTGTGATTAAAAAAAAATGGTTAGAAATAATGATATATGTAAACTGCTAAAGATGAGATACAATGAAAATCAGATAGGGGGGACTTGGGGAAGCCCACCTAACAATGTTTAGAAAAAATAAGGATAAGACAAGAATCTGTTTCTGTTGTTTGTGTCCCTGTTTGTGCTGTTTATTTGTGTTATAAAATGAATAAAAAAAATTTTTTTGGGGGGGGGGCAGAACTGAAAATACCTCTGCCAATCTTAAAGATAGCCTTGGTTTCTCTAAGGCAGTATACGCTCCCCAGGTCAGGAGCACCAGACGCCCCTGTCGCTAGCCGGTGTGGCTCTGGTCTGCTTCCGCCAAGGTTGAGTCTGCCTCTGTTCTTTCTTGAGCTTGTCAGAGGGCAGCTGGCCCTGTAAATCTGCATCAGACCCTTTTAAGTGCACTAGAGACTCATTTAACAAGACCCCCCCTTCTTCCCTAACGAGCAAATTCCCTTTTCTTCTGTGCGCGGCTCTAGAACTCGCGTCCCCCTGAAAGGTCCCAAAATGCATCAGGGTATTTTTATTATAACAGTTAAAAACGAGAGGGCCACAATGGGGGAAGCCGTGGTCATAAGGAGAGGATTGTTAAGTAAATCCCAGCCTGTGGCTGTTTTTAATTTATTTTTTGTTTTATGTGCAAAAAAAGAAACTTGGCTTTGTGGGTCTGGTTAATATCAGGGTCTGGAATTTTGTAGATGTTTAATCAGAGGCCTTTTTTTCAGGGAGGGAGGGGGAAAGGGGAGGCCTGCTCTCGTTTGCTTTTTTTGTCACTGTGTCTGGATTTCCTTAGCTGACTCCCCCCCCCCCCCCGGTTTGCCAAGTCTGAGCCAAGTGCTTGATTTCAACTTACACAAGACAGGACGTTCCCCAAAGAGGGTTTATTTAGCTTTTAACAGCGAGAGAGAGAGAGAGAGAGAGAGAGAGAGAGAGAGAGAGAGAGAGGTATGTGTGTGTGTGTATGTGACTTTGTTTGCAGGCTCCCTCTCTCTACCCCCCCAACGAAAAACCGCAGATGCCATCTGCAATTTAAAACCACCCCGTGAATTCAGCATTCGTAGAAGATTCCTCAATAGTTTATGACCCATCATAGCTGAACGAAAAGCATTTCACATATTTTTTGTGGGGGGAGCTTTCATCCCTCTGCTGGCAAGGCAAGTAAATCCCCAAGTATTTTAGCACGTGCTATTAATATGCAAATAACAGAGCGAGGACTAGTT